CATTTAAACTAAGAAACCTATGCTGTGTTCATTTCTAAAAATTGATTCTGCAGAGTGGCCTCGGAAAATACACATCTAATCTGACAATACTAGAATGTTACTCATGACATAAGCTAGAATAATGTTAAAGTATCTCTTGGCCCTTGATACTACAGACAAAACCAGCAATATAGTTTTTCCTAAACCCATGACATTTTTTTGTTTTGAAAAGTCTTTCTTTTCAAGACATGATTTGGTAAATTACTGTTATAAGCAGTAACATGGAAAAGCCTGCTAGAATTCTGATCCGTCTTCTCCATTTCCTCATTAATGTTCTAATAAACCTAACTGGATCCCAAATGCACTTCTGAAGTTGGGTTCACGTTAAAGCAACCAAATAAATGTATTTCATACACAGAAGCAGTTAACGAAATCATGATTTTAAAATACCAAGCCACTTTTTGTCCCACTAATACCATAACTCTCACTAGGGACCTCCCAAAATAAATTCTTTTAATTGCATCTGAATCAAAACATTGTTTAAAAGAGTAATCTCCATTAGCTCTGCCTGATCCTCATTCGGCTACGTTTTGAGATATTTATTTCAGTATTCAAAATTGCACTCGGAATAACAACAATCTGGTTCAGAGCAAGCCATGAAGCAACTAATAGATCTTGATTCCATTTTCCATATTCTTTGGGATGTGAAACACTGGCTTCTTTTTGTTTTGAGGTGCTTTAAAAGTATGAACTGTAATTGAATGCATTGCCTTTACTAACAAAGAAATTAGCATTTAGTTAAATATTGGCTTCCTTGCAGAATACTCCATACCTTATATCTTGCATATTCACTTGGTAATTATTCCTAAATATATAAGTTGGCCAATATTTTAATAAATATGCCCCAAGGTTAAGGGATTCCAAGTATGTCTAATGATGTTTTAGCAAACAATATTTCATTCACATTTAAAATCAAGTAAAAGACATTTCCATTTCTTCAGGCTATAGAGCTTAATCAGTTAAGATTTATGGGGTTTTGCTTTTGATGGGGAAAGGAAGAGGGAATTAAGCAGCATGTTGGGATACTGGTCATGGGTTATTATACTAACATCCTCAAATATAAATCTACACAGTACTTTGCCTGAATTGATACACAACAAAATTGATATATATTCATTTGATTCAATTTCATGTTGCTTCAGGTTAAAACAAGCCACACTTTCATGTGTTTGCATACAATTCCCATGGCTGCAGTTTTTACAGTACATTTATGCATAGCCTAACTGACTCCCGTGCACAAAGATTTATGGAAAATAAGGGTGTTGGAGACAGATAATAAGACACCTTCTTTCCTTTCGTTTTCTTGGAGCACACCTATTTACACGTTCCAATACAACATTAAAAAAAATTTGCACATTAACACTACAAAAATTACCTTTTTGATACAGTTAAAAGAACAAACACTGCTGAAAATGGATTCTGATGATATATTATATAGAAATTCTTCTCTAGACAACTGCTGTAATGCAAGGGAAAATGTGTGCATATAGAAGGCTGTTAAAAGAAAGGGAAAAATCATCCTTTCAATGACTCGTATAGAAGCCCTTGATTTCTTCATTTTCAATCTGCTGTTAAGTTTCAAAAATGTGTTCCACTTCAGTAGGAAGTGGCAATATAGCATTTATTGCTAAGATTTTCTTATTTTGATTTGCTTATTTCTAACACTACGCTATAAGCACAAGTCCAAATTTGGCATGCAGCCTAACTCTGGTCAGTACAGGCATGCACTCTAAGTCAGACCTAGTTTGGCCCTGAACAAACACTTGAAGTCACAGTACAAGGAAGATCTTTTCTTTGCTAGTGTGGATGACCATGTCTGAAGAACAAGAAAATTTATGCAACTGAGTGGATGTGTCAGGAAAGGGGAGGCTATGCTCTCTTTATCAGCACGAGTTTAAACTAAAAGTAGACAAGCCAAGGAAAAATGTACCATAAGACACAGGATATGAACTCTAGCAGTGATCTAGAAAATGCTGTCATTATCTCAACACCACAGCAGGGAAGAACATTAGAACTTATAGCAGATATGGAACTAATCTGTAGTTGATTACTCTGAATGAAGCTCTAAATTCTGAGAAGTATTCAATCACTGGAAATGGTGGATGCTAAAACAAGGAATCAATCACCCTCCCTCCATACACTCTGCACAAGGAGATCTGTACATATGAGACAAGCTCTGCTCACATCTGCAAAAGCAAAAACAAATGATCATTACCACTTGACTTGACTTGCTATTGGTTTTTTTTTTTTAAAGTTTCTACAACAGTAACTCAATAACTCATACGTGCCACTGATTTATTAATTTTTTAAAAATAGGTTCAAGTAAAAACTAACTCATCTGCAACTAGAGTTCTTCAACTACACCAACTCCAAACAATGCTACTTCTGGATCCATGCTATTTGTCTATTTAGTAGTTAAGACTTGTCAGTTCATATGACTCATGGCACACACATGACAGCACAGAGCTCTGCCTACACATCCAGGGAGCAGTGTTTCATGCCCTCTGCTCTTGTCCAACTGCCCAATCAACAGTACAGAAATGCACCAAGTGTCAATAAACTAAACTACATCTGCCCCACTGGCAAGTAACTTACAGCTTTTGCTGTATGCGCCAAGTTCCTTTCATTGCAGGATTTGCTCTGGAGAGGGACAATGACAAATTGATGCAGCATGTGAGCAGTATTGAATATTTTCTGATCACAAATCCTTATTACCTTTTCTTTTTCCAGAAAACAATGCGCTGAAATCAATAATGGGTACACAGCTGCATGTTGGATGAGAAGTTACTATGGGTCATGACTGCAGTTAAGTAAGAAGCAAACAGAAAACAAATAAGAAATAACCTTCCTTTCCCAAAAATCCATTCTGAAACATGAATTAGATAAATGCTCTATTTGGAAGTGCCCTTTTATACACCAAACTATTGGGATTTTTTTTGCATTAGCAGCAGTTTTTTTTGCAGTTACTTCCATTGAGGTTTTTATGCTTCTTTTCAGTTTTCCCTTCCAGCCACTAGCTTCTGCTTAAAATATTTCAAAAGGAGGAAACTCAAACATGATACTTCACTGCTTGCTCAGGAATGACTGCAAAAGGTCCTAGCTTTCACCTTCCTCAGTTTCATTATTTGCCAAGCTATGTGCAAGGAATTTTACCTCATCTATTGTTATTTATAAAACAATATGATGCAGTTCTCTCATAGTCCCTCCAATTCTTTACATGATTATCTCAAGTAACAGATTTACCTTCAAATTTATGCATAAGAAAGGATTGATTATGAGCCCTTCCATTTTTTACTTTCATAGCAGAAGGGCCATTTTCCACAGCTACCTCCTACAGGCAACAAGTTTTGAAAGATCTAAAAGATTTATTTGTATCCATTTTTATTTTATTTTTGATGCTATTTTATTTTAGATTTTAGCCACCACAATTTAGTGATTCATATACATTCTCAAAGCATTGGTTCTGGGTGTTAAGAGCAGATTACTAATAGACCTTGAACCTCACAATATAAATGAGCACAGAGCAGGATGAAAGGAAGTATGAGTTCCCTGGCAGTTCTGAATGTGCTCCCAAGCTCACTCCCATTGCCTACTTTTACATTGGTGCTTGTGAGCATTCTTTCGAGTGACTTCTGTGGGGGCTGGAAGTAAACCTTCCTAATAGACAACTCAGCAAAGCTGAACCTTATTTTTTTCTGGTAGACTATCTACAATACAGGTTTTGACTCAAGTCTGTAAACTCAACCATATTTTGAGGAGCACTTCCATTCTGAAAAAAATACCTAATCCATTATTCCATCAAAACAGTGGAACAGAATTGCAAAAGGACAAATTTCTGTGCTGGTCATGCAGTAGTGTTAAAATTCTGCCTTAAGAACTCTCTTAAATTAATTCATATCCATTCTTATCCTGCATTAGTAACTGTCTGGCTTTCCTTACATGACACTAGAGGAGTACAAACATTTAAGGCCACATTAAAATATTACATTAAGATGACCATAAAATTCAACAATATAAAACCTAAGACCATTCTAGAGCATTTCAGGGGAAAAAAAATCAGCAAGATAACAAAAAGCTACCTTGAAACTATATATGAAAGTAATAATTTTCTATTAATGATGTACAAAACCTGATCCAAGAAAGCACACAAATCTATTATTAAGGATATCCTAATGGTAGGTCTCAAAGTTTCCACATCAACACTTGAATTTCAAAAAAGACAGATAAAGATTGAGTGCAGCAAAGAAGAATTAGGAGGAAAAAGAAAACCTTATTTAGTTTTCATTGACACTTAAGAACTTTGGAAATTTTTTCTTGAACCCTCATTAAAACATGGCTTGTTTTTCAGGTGCAATAACCCTTCAATCTTTCACCTGCAAAAGTTTTCCTGGTACTGAAAGAGTCTTTTACTTTCTGCTTCACCCACCCTGTAAGATTTTGAGCACAGTGCTGATGGGTAGAGAACCATAACCTTACACCTCTTCAAGCATTAAAAAAGATCTACTGCAACACTTAGATTGCCTGTGTTTGTCATTGTCGATGAAGAAATACACAACTTGTGTCAGGAATGCTACCCTTTGTCCAGAGTAGTTTTACAATCATTTATATTCTATTAAAAAAACTCAAACAACTTTTGTTATTGCTGGTTTTCCTATGTACTTTAGACCTAAAAACTTGTATAGAAATTCTTTCTGCTCATTTTTCCATCACCCTCTCTTTTTCTCAGCAGAGATTTCAATACAGTGGGCCTTTAAGAAAAAAACCCAAAGTTTCTTCACCTTCAATAAAAAGGGTACTTGGAAATAGATGCTACAGCAGACTGATCATTGTCCCCATTGCTGTAGCTCCTGCAGAACTTACTCCCTGATGTTTGTGTTAAAGAAACAAAAGCAAGAAACAGAGATGGTGCAGATGGGCTAAGGCTAAAAAGCTGACCCATATGTCACCCCATCCCTTCTTACCCAGATCCATGCTTTTTGAGGCTTTTAGATTAATTGATTCAGACAGTTTGGCTGGTGTCAAAGATCTGAAGTTGATGTGCTGATCTGTTAAACGTACTGCTGAATTTATGATAGGGCTGTAG